GAGATAGATTTTCCGAGAAAGGGATCTCAATTCTTGCTTAATTTCTTATCTAATTATCTTTTGGAATGAGAGATAAATTTACAAAGTTAAAACAATTTTAAAGTCTCATTCAAAAGAAAATAACATAATAGTAGAAAATTAAAAACATTTAGTTATGATAAAAACATTTAGTTTGGATTGTAAAATAACTATTAAAATTATGAAAGAATGATTTTTATTTGCAGATTAAGAAAGAATTAAGACCAATAAATAAGCAAAACTAAATATAAATTATATCTGATATGTGTCTTTCAATCTCTATAACAGAACACTTTTTCGAATGCCCTTTAGCCATTTAATTCTTTCTTAAACTAACATTATTAATATTATCTGATAATGATAATTCGCAAAGGCATGTAAATTTTTAGTACGAATTTAATGAGTAAATTCGATAATATTAAACTCTTTATTCTCCTTTCGTTTATGTACATTACTATTTAGTACAAAAGAGAGTTCATACACACAAGGATTAACGACGGTTTAATTAATGATGAATTTAACATTATTTTACTGACGTAATGACCATTAATAAGATCATTCCCAAATAACACAGTTCAAAATCGAGACAAAAGATGCTTAAAAGACATCTTTAAGACATCTCAAAAACATCTTATATTCCGATTTTTGTGTTGTCTCCGTTGCATTATGATTATTGATGTGATGACTGATGATATATTCTATGATAGGGATCTTCACATGTTTCGCTTAAATTCAGCTTTAGCCAGTGTCATACGTTTTGATATATGTATATATAAGTACCTGTATACGTTCCAAAGAGGATGTAACTTCCGCTATCACGCGTAAAAAGTATAAAACCTATCCATACACATAGTATATTTGTGTACGATATCAGCATACAATCCGGTAAAATGTACAACAGAATTTCATGTGGCAGCTAATACAATATGGATATATCAATCGCTAATGATAGATTTATACATTTTCCAAAATTAAGATCTCCACAACATGTCGTTAAAAATACGGAACGTTACCTTTGGAACATTGGTTTCGATTATTAATTTTACATTCTTATTGATTGAAAAAATACCTATGTGTCGGCGCTTAAAATGAACACGCTTCCATTAAGGTATGCGAAAGTTGCAGCCATTATTTCATTACAGGTATATCTCAGTTAGCATAAGTTGAATATACATTCTGCGTTTTGGAACATCGAGTATCTCTTAAAAAATGAAAATTATTTTCGCAGTGATCGCCCTTATAACATATATAGATTTACGTTTCGTTTATCCTTAACGTGTCTTTTACAGATATCGCATCAAATAAATTCAAGATTTTATATATGCAAGATGCGAGCGTATATGTATGCATATGTATACATACATACATACATATTCAGAGACATCGCGTGAACCATATGAGTCATATGAGTCATAAGATTGCGTTTAGCACAAAAGACGAAATACAAATACAGTGATATTATTTTTAAGACAGCAAGTATTCATTTTTCTTTTCTGAAAACATAAGCGAAACGAATTGTGAATAAGGGATTGACGTTGTACAATTTTTCACGGTGTTAAAATATAATATAAAAACGTACAGTTTTCCAATATTGGGCATACAGACACGAGTCAAAAGCGAACTTGCAATAATAATGCGCAAACCTAAAAATTGATTTCACATACAGAGACAACTCCGGTAATTTTATACACGATTTATTTACATCTGAATTCACTGATCGGAAACGATGTGTCTCATGCGTGGCAATTTCGTCTGCTGTTTATAGAGTATGTATAGTGAAACGAGATACCGCGCATATCCTGTTTACGGAAATGTACTTGTGCGAAAACTGATTTTCGTACAGGTCATTTTCGCTCATACAAAGGTTTAAGAATCCACCAAGTTTGAAAATTTTACTAATTTTACAATAACGCGAGAAAATACACCTGGCAATCTGCTCCCTCTCTCATAAATAGCGACTCGTATTGAGCGTCGTTTTTGTTTCGTTTTGTTTTTCCTGAATTACAATCACACTCTAAAATATGACCTTATCGTACAATATATTTCTTAATTAGCAGAGGATCGTTGATCGTGATCCGAACTTATTTCAAGAGACGTCACAATAAAATATGTTGCATTAATATGTCACACGGCCATTTCGTATAGAGGCTATACATCGTCGAATGCCTTTGCGAAAATGCGCAAGATGTGTCTAGACGTTAATATTTGTGAATAATAATAGTAATCATGAACTCTTATTCTCTCGTATTTAAACAATTAGATAAATAAAAATATTACGCTTATACAATTAATGAATTATGTATGTACACATAACATCTCGTTCATCGATAGACGTACATGTATATATGCATATATATTTGTATATGCATATACAATATATATATATATATATATATATATTTCTAATTCACTTACCACCCAGAAGATAGAATGTGATTTTTATGCGTGGTTTAGGGAGAGGCCTAACGTTGAAAGAATTTCTAATGCGCTAGAATTGCCAACACGTGATCAACTCCATAGAGTCTTCCTGCAAGTTTCATTAAATGCAGTTGTACAAAAAGATGAAAGTGCAATATTAATTTCGTTCACGAAATTGAAGAACCATATACGATAGATTGATGGTCGAACCCACCCTAGATCTCAATTTATTGTGTAAAAAGCCACAATGTGGTTGCATTCATACTTCACTTACGCAGGTTTCGTTATCTTGGCAGAAGTCTTCTTCTTGTTATTTCGACATTTCCTTACATACGCTTCTATTAGATGGGCTATTTTTTTAGGATTAATCTCGCCCGTTTTATTATGGCATATCTGTAATTAAGATCGTATAGTATTTTCAATTATATTTGTATCATTAAATTTATACATATTTAATGCACAATACTTTTAGTTAATACATAATACATAGTAAGTTTAATAGAGTTTAATTAATCATTAAATTTAATTAATAAGCTCACCTTAGGTACAGCTTTACGCATGATATCTTTGTATTCCTCTTTTGTAATGTGTTTTTTGGTGTAATGGGGTTTGAGAACTAATTTCACTTCCTCCACGACTCTCTCTTGTCGATTTAGTTTTTTAAGGAACTATAACGACAAAGACAGAAAACAGATTTTATATATGCATATTTTAAACAATAAAGATGATTACATTAACGCCATTAATATACCTTGTCTTTAACTTGCATTTCCACAGCAGAACTAGGAAGATCATCTAGGATTTGGAGTTGATTTTCGTCCATGCGTACTCCAACTTTAGGATTGGTGGCTGTAAAAAAAAGATGTTAAAAATAATAAACTCTATAATTCTAAGATTAGAATTTTGAATTTATATAGAATTTTTGTTCGTATAAAAAAATTACTACAAATAAAGCTTAGATTGTGTATCGCTTTAATTGAAAGACGAAAGACGTGAATAAACTACATACACTTCTTCGTCTTTTCCTTGGCGACCTTTTTGCTTCTATTTTTCGTGGCAGTCTTAACAGACGGCAGTATACTACCGAACAGTGCGTCAAATGGATCTTTTTTCTCCGTGCTCTTGTTGATCTTCGGCGTGCTGGTTTTAGCAGCGGCAGGCGGTGGTGCGTTCGCGACGGGTGAGTTATTGAAATTAGCGGGACTCGGCGGATCGAACAGGCCGTCGCTGAGAGTCGATCCCGGTGAATATGGTGATGACATGTCGATGACGTTATCATTTATCATGTCTATGGTTGCGTCGCTGCCGTTCTGACCTACCGTCGAGCTGTTTTTATTCTGAGTGGATTTGGAAGAACGCGCCATGGCGGCTGACTTTGCAGAATTTGCGAATACGTTAGGAAGCTGCGGCCTATCATTCGTACGTTGCTTTATCTGATTACTTGGCGAAATGCGATTAGGCTGTAAGAAAATCAAGTGCTAAATTGATCAAGATTCTGATCAATAATCTAAGATTTCATAAAACTAAGATTTCAGTCGGCAATTCATCCTATTTAAAATACATTAATTAAATTTGAAATTTAATCAACCAAATACCTGTAATAGGGTTCTTTGTGTAGTGTTGGGCATTGTAGTGCTGGGGTTGAAGCTCCTCTGCACCGCGGCTGCCACCGTCGCCAACACGGGATTGATAGTGCTAAACGGATTGGCGGTTGATTGCACATTCTGCGGATTCTGCTGAGTTTTGGGCGGACTGCTGCTACATGACTGGACTATGTCCGCCTGATTTTCCGGCACGGGAGACGCGGAGACGTCTCTCTGCGGCGACGGCCTCTTGATAGTCACCATCGATATTATCTTTGGTTTTTCTATCGGCTTCTCTTGACTGGGTTGTTCCTGCTGTTGACTGGGCTCATCTAATGGCAACGGAGTATCCACTGGGCCCTCGTGCTTCCTGGGCGAGTTGCGCTGTCCTCGATCTCGCTCGTCATTCGGCGTAGCTTCCTGACTCGCGTCCGGCGTCGGTGAGCGGGATTTGGTAGGATCGAAAGGATCGTAAGCATCTGGTGAAGTTGGAGGAGACGTGGGTGGTTCGGGCGGCGTATTAGGACCGATCTTGAGACGCAGTTCCAATTCCTCCTGTGCCCGCATTTCAAGCTCCTCTTCGGCTCGCTCGTCCATCATCTCCTCCTCTTCTTCCTCTTCTTCTTCCAACAATGGATTTATCAAGGACGGTCTAAGATTACTGGGTTGCTTGTTTATAGAGAATTTGATTTGTGGCTCCGGCGGTGTTTTCGGGCCTTGCGAGACGAACTGCTCGCGCGGCGGTGACGCTTGCGACGGTGGGCATTGTTCTGGTGACGCGGCGAGCGTCTCTTGCGCTTGTTTATCGTCATCATCGCTCAAGATAATAACATCACGCGGAGAAGGCGTCTGTTCACGGAACGGCGATTGATCCAAATCGATTACGGCCACGGGCTTCTTCGTCGCCGCGATCTCCGCTGCCTTGGACTTCTTCTTCTTGTCCTTCTTCACTTTTGGCGATTTGGACCGTTTGTCCTTCGTCTTCTCCTTCTTCGATCGCTTCGCGGAAGGTGTCGGCTCAATCTGAACGGACTCTCTTCTTCGACGTTTTATTGGCGGCGACAATGGAATAGTCGGAGGTAACTCCGGCGTAGCCGATGGATTCATCTCGTTGTCTTTGTTGAAGCACACACTAACCAGAATATTATCACCGCTCGCAAACACTTCTTTTGACGGCGGCGGGGTCCTATTGCGTTTGCTCTTCCGTCGTTTTTCTGCCTCCTTAGATTTCCGACTCTCTTTCCGTCGTTCTTTCTTTTTCTTCTTTATCGCCTCCTTGTTCGTTAATATGACAGTCAGGTTCTTCGGCGATACGCTATCTAGCACGGGTGGTGGTGACCAGTTTCGCGAGCTGATCCGTTCCTCTTGGATATGCGGTGGCGTCTTCGATCTCGAACGTGACCAGGACGGCGTCCACTGCGCACTCCAGGAACGTTCTTCGCGTTCACGCGGGAACTGCTGCTCCTGTTCCACGCTCTTCTCATTCAATTGATCCCAGTTCCTGTTGCGGTCCCGCTCTCGCGAGATCGACCTGCCTTTCGATCGTGATCGGCTGTGCGCCTTCCTCTTGCTGTGCTTCTTGTCACGTGTCTTGGATGTCGTTCTCTTCGGCGACTTGCTGCGCGACCTCTTGCGATTCCTCGAGCGACTGCGCGACTTGTACTTCTTCGCTTTCTCCTTTCGTTTGTCACGCGATCTCGATAGCGATCGCCTGCCGCGTCTTCTGGGTGACAGTGATCGTCGTTTGCGCGACAGCGATCGCGATCGCCTACGAGAGATGGAATGTCGTCTCGACAGAGATCGTCTGCGCGACTTGCGTCTAATACGGGACGATGATCTTCTACGTGAATTAGAGCTGCATGATTTGGAGTACGACGGACCACGATCCCTCGACCAGGACAATCGGAGGCGAGATCTACTTTTAGACCGTCCCTTTGAGTATGATCGACTCCGTTGATCCTTCGAGCCAGACTGCATCCTATTCGAAGAACGACTTCTCGATCTGCTTCGTGATTTTTCCCTGATATCCCTGCCGTACTCGTCTTTTCGCGGCCGAGACGGTTTCTCGGCTACAATCTTTCTCACATCATACCGCGGTAGTTCTTTCCTCTTTTCTTTCTTTTTACCAATTTCCTTTGTCTTTTTCTTGAAGGACTTGTCTTTATCCTTCTCCTTCTCCTTCTCCTTCTCCCTTTCCCTCGATTTTGACCGTTTGTCCTTATCACGATATGGCCTGTCTCTTGTGCTCTTCGAAAGTTTCTTCCACGAGACCAGATTATCTGATGAGATATTCTCTTTGTTTTTCTCCGTGCTCTCTTTGCTCTTCTCCTTCTTGTCCTTCTTTCTCTTCTTCTTGTTATCGTCCTCTTTATCCTCTTTCAATTTTTCCCGTTCCTTTATATCCAGCTTACTCTCATCCAGTATCTCACCGTCCTCCATCTCCTTTTCTTTGCGTAACATCAGAGCATTCAGTTCCTCCTCGAAATTTATCGCTTCGTCAGTTTCAGAGATAGCCTCGGTGCCCAATTCGGCATAACCAGTCGGTGATCTGCAATCGTCTAGATCGTCATTCGTCTTGTCTTTCGTCGGCGTGATGGGCTCCAAGCCGATTTCAAATGATGTCGTGTAACGCTCCACCTGCATTTCGTCTCTTATTGGTAGTTCATCCTTGCAGGGCGTGTAAGCGCCATCTGACTCCCAATTGTTGTCGATGGTGATGGCAGGCGCAGGCAACTCGTCCAGCTTATCCTTCTCGATAGGGAACTGTTCCGCCTCGTCGTCCACCGTCGAGAAGCTCGCCTTTTCGTGTCGCTGGTCCGATGAGTTTGGATCTTCGTTGTCGCTCGATGCTTTATCGTCGTCCTTATCGTCGCGATCTGCCTCAGCAAGCTTGCAGCTGCTCGGCAAACGTTCGTCGTCATCGCTGCTCGACTCCCGATCTCGCGAGTCGTCGCGCGCACTCGTCTCATCCCGCGATTCGGTTTTCGAGTGCGACAACGCGATCTTGCTCGTCGTGTCGCCGCCTTCCAAGTCTTCCGAGCTGCACTCTATGCTCAGCTCGCTACCATCCAATTTTCTCGGCGACAATCTCTCGGCCGTGTCAAGCGCGGATGACTCCGCACTCTCCGCAACTGCAACATTCTCACTCGGCGTATCCAACATTTCCCATTCACTGTCTTCTTCCTCTTTCTTATTGGACGAAGCGTCGATGTCTTTTGTTTTCTCATCTATCTTCGTAGTTTCCTCGTCTGATGAGCTTTCCGAATGAAGTTCCTTGCTTTCGTGTCGACTCGCAGGCTTGAGAGGCTCTTTCTTCTTTGAGCTCGATTTAGCGAGCTCTGTACTTTTTTCTTCTTCCACTTCTTCTTCCTCTTCAGCAAATCCTGGCCCTATCTTTATTAATTGATTCGATACTATTGATGGTTTTACGACTGTGGATTCCATTGCTGATTTTGACGAACTGACATTTTTGTCGCTATCTCGCTCAACTTGCAATTTATCAATCGACTGTACGGTTGGCGTCTTCTTCTGAAGAAAACTTGTATTTTGCGAATGGTCTTCCGAGTGCAGGCCACTCAGTCGGTTGTTAAGTCTCAGCTTATTACCTATCTTAAAAGTGATTTTTCCACGATGCGAGTCGTGCGAAATCTTCTTTGGTGGTATCTTACTCAAAGTTTGTCGTTCCTTCTGTAGCGCTTCGAGATATGGATTGGCTGGTTCTGGTGGTACATCCGGGAAATCACAGGCTTGAACGTCTCCTACGATAATATCGTCGTCATCGGGAATGTTGGGCGGTATCGGTGGTGGCTGGAGTGGTCCAAGCTGCTGCGACAGCTCCTGTTCTGTATGCCTAGCCACATCCATAGTTTGCGACGAGTAGATGGAGAAATTCGGACAGTCTGACTGCGAATCATTGTCGTCATCATCATCGTATGCAGTCAGCCGAATAGGCTCTTGTGGGCGTTCCCTATTCTGAATCGCGGCAGTCGTCGGTATCGAAGGATAGGTTGTGGAAACCAACGGCGGCGCAATCGGCATAGGTATGTTACAACTATTCCGTGATACTTCGGCTGTCTCCGATGTCGCCTTTTGTAACGTTAACGGAGTAGTGGCATCGTCGTTGCTGTCACTGTCGGCCGCAAATGGATCATACTTGTCGCCACTTGTCGGCAGCTCTCTCGATGTATCCTCCTTATGGCTGTCATCGATCACTAATTCCTGCTCGCTGTCGTCTTTATCACTTCTAGAATTTTCTTCGAAATCCAGCAAACCAGATGGCGGCTCTGGTGGCGGCAATAGAATCATCGAACCATTACTATGAAGTTCTTCTTGTGCCTCACAATCAGGTTTGGACGGCGGTTCAATGTCGCAATAAATATCGCAGTCATCGTTGTCCTGTCGCGTGGCAGGTGACGCGGCTGCAGGAGACGCAACTATAGGTGAAACGGTCACAGCGACCGGATCTGGTATCACAATGCGATCGTTCTGCTCAGGAGGTGGCTGATAATTCCCCGTCATATCCTCCGGTAGACTAACCGGAGGTAGACTGTTGTGCATATTCGGTGGAGGGATGGACGGACCAGGTGGCATGCCCAACGGAGGTGGCCTAGGCCTAGGGAAACGATCCGTCACGTGCGGAAACGGTGGCCTCTCGAAGCCACCACTGCCGTCTGTAAAATTGAACGGTCGTTCGGCAGGTGGTGGTGGCGGCGGAAAACGCAGCCGCTCGTTGCGAAAATGCTGGGGATTACGGCTGCGGAACGGTGGCGGCGGTACGTGGGCACCGAACATGGGTGGTCCGCCGCAGTGCTCAAAATTAGGATTGAAAAACGGCGGCGGACCGAAGTCACGATTCCCGAAGTTGTCCCGCGGACCGCCGCCGCCAGTCCCACCGCTGTAATTGTGTCTGCCACCACCGCCCGGCGGCATCGAATCCCGACCACCGCCGTAAGTCTGCCCCCCGTGGCCACCATGTCGACTGTTATCACGACCGTAACCACCCCGGAAGTTGCCTCGATTACCGCCGCCGCCACCACCGCCGCCACCACCTCCGCCACAAGGATTATTGTACATAGGCGCCTGCGTGATGTCATTGGCATTAATATTAGATAGATCCAACGGCGTGTCCACCTCCTCCAAGATTGCCTCCTCCCGCCGCGTGACTTCCTCTTCGTCCTGCTTTTCCTTTTTCGGGCTTTCATTGTTATTAATGCTGTGCTTATTTTCCTTCTCAGAATTATTCACCATTAATGTGCCGTCACCCTTCAGAATCACGTCGTCTTTTTTTTGATCGAGTGCCACAGCTCCTGACTGCTCATTATACTATCCAAAAGATCCGTTATGCCAGCATTATTCATTTCACTGACAGGATTGACGATATCTTTTAGAGCGGTGCGACGTCTAATCGATGGTACTGCCAATCGTCGTTGTCGTACATTTATTATCGGACCTTGTCCAATTCCAATGGAATATTCATCGTCGTCATCCGATCTATAAAAAAGAGATTGTTTCTATTAAAGTATTTTATTGAAATATTATTTTATTTTTATTTTATCTTAAAGCAATATCTCTCATATAAATATCTTACACAGAATGAAAAAATTTGTGCAATTGGATAGGTATTAAGAAATATGCCGTATCTTTACAGTAAAAAAGATTACGTAGAATGTCTGGTAATAATTAGATATGTCTTAATTAGATATATAAGAATAAATATATTGGATTGCTCACCCAGGTGGACTGTAATCTAATCCTAGATTATTTCCAAAAAGACTGACTTGAGGTATACCAGCGCTGTATCTAGCGTTCGTGAGAATGCTTTTCTCAGGAATAGAGCTATTACTTTTCATGGTAGGTAAGAGCAATGGCACTTTCGGCTTCTTCATACCGAGTGTAGAGGCCAATCTTCTTTTTACTGTTCGAGTGTTTGTCAGCATGGATGCAGTGCGCGCACGACATTTATATTTTCTCCTCTGGAGAAACAGTTTAATAATCTCATATGTGTTTTTACAAAGATTATATATGATGAACAATATATATATAT